GGTTGGTAAGCAACCTGTAGTTGATGTGTGGCACTGCCCAGATATATGTGTTTCGGGACAGAGACAGTCCCAAAGTAGTTTTCTGTCCGAGGTGAACAATAATGTTGCAACACCTCCACTTTCATGTGTGAATGATGCCAGAACTGGTGATGGAATATTTTGTCAGCTCTGTCTTGGGCAGCACCTTCTTTCACCTGAAGTCAGTAGGACTGGTTCAGGGAGTGCACCACCGGATGTGTAGTGCAACAGCTCTCCCCTTTGGCAGCTTACTGTTACCTTGAAGCTGCTGCCTGTGGCACTCTGCATAATGGTAGGATACCCTGTGTCCAAATCTTTCTGAAAGATTTGGATATCCCGGACAACCCAGACAATGTAGTTGCTGACCTTGAGCCAGACATCCTGGAGAGTGAAGTCAAGTGGGCCTTAGAAAGCCTGGCTAACAACAAGGCCAGTGGAGGTGATGGCTTTCCAATTGAACTATTTAATATCTTAAAAGATGATGCTGTTAAGGTGCTACACTCAATATGCCAGCAAGTTTGGAAAACTCAACAGTGGCCAGAGGACTGGAAAAGATCAGTCTACATCCTAATCCCAAAGAAGGGCAGTGCCAAAGAATGCTCCAACTACCGTACAATTGCACTCATTTCACACGCTAGCAAGGTTATGCTCAAAATCCTCCAAGGTAGGCTTCAGCAGTATGTGGACCGAGAACTCCCAGAAGTACAAGCTGGATTCCAAAGGGGCAGAGGAACTAGAGACCAAATTGCTAACATGTGCTGGATTATGGAGAAAGCCAGAGAGTTCCAGAAAAATATCTACTTCTGCTTCATTGACTATGCAAAAGCCTTTGACTGTGTGGACCACAACAAACTGTGGCAAATCCTTAAAGAAATGGGAGTGCCTGACCACCTTGTCTGTCTCCTGAGAAACCTATATGTGGGACAGGAAGCAACAGTCTGGAATTAAGATTGCCGGAAGAAATATCAACAACCTCCGATATGCAGATGATACCACTCTGATGACAGAAAGTGAGGGTAAAAGAGGAGAGTGCAAAAAACAGTCTGAAACTCAACATCAAAAAAGCTAAGATCATGGCCACTGGTCCCATCACCTCCTGGGAAATAGAAGGGGAAGATATGGAGGCAGTGACAGATTTTACTTTCTTGGGCTCCGTGATGACTGCAGATGGAGGCAGGAGCCACGAAATTAAAAGACGCCTGCTTCTTGGGAGGAAAGCAATGACAAACCTTGACAGCATCTTAAAAAGCAGAGACATCACCTTGCCGACAAAAGTCCAAATAGTCAAAGCTATGGTTTTTCCTGTTGTGATGTATGGAAGTGAGAGCTGGACCATAAAGAAAGCTGACCGCCGAAGAATTGATGCCTTTGAATTGTGGTGCTGGTGGAGACTCTTGAGAGTCCCCTGGACTGCAAGGAGAACAAACTTATCAAATCTAAAGGAAATCAACCCTGAGTGCTCACTGGAAGGACAGATCCTGAAGCTGAGGCTCCAGTACTTTGGCCATCTCATGAGAAGAGAAGACTCCTTGGAAAAGACGTTGATGTTGGGAAAGTGTGAAAGCAAGAGGAGAAGGGGACGACAGAGATGAGATGGTTGGACAGTGTCATCGAAGCAGCCAACATGAATTTGACACATCTCCGGGAGGCAGTGGAAGACAGGAGGGCCTGGCGTGCTCTGGTCCATGGGGTCACGAAGAGTCGGGCACGACCAAACGACTAAGCGACGACCCTGTGTCCACGGAAGCAGGCTGTAGGTTCACATGGATGCAGACAGCAGCCTCTGGGACTAGACAGCCAACCTTCTCCAAGATTGTGGCATGATAAAGAAGAGCCATTCATTTGAACATTTCTGCTTCTGTCCAGAGGTCCAGGACAAATCACCAGGTGATTCAAAATACATGAAAATTATATCAGATAAGATGAACCATACTGAAATTCAAGCTTTGCTCCCTCATCCGACAAAGCCCCGACCAAGATAGAGATGCACGTTTCAGCATGTCTTTAGGGAGTGGTCTTGTCCAGAAGCCCCAGAGAAGAGGGAAAGCAGCCATAAGGCTGTAACATTATTATAAATAAACACTTTGAGACCTGCCACTGGGCTTCCTTTCCCATAGTCCTGGATATATCTGTATTGGGTGCTTCATGCAAAGAAACTAGCTACAGTATTGTTATCCCGTGCAGTTTTGCAGTGATGCTGGTGATACAAACAATGTTGGTATGTTTTGAGGAGTGTGCTATTTCATCTTGTTTCTTTTCATGAAAATAAATGCAGGAGAAAAAGAAACAATATATTTAACATGCTTTTAAAATAGATGCTTCATCAAATGGTGAAATATGCTATGGTATGTGATTTCTCCCATCCAAGTATCTTGCATTTAGTGTGCTTTGTTTTGTGATTTATCATCGGAAGGTAAACACAGGCTTAATTTAGGAGTCTGATTCCTCGTGGAGCTCTGAGGAATCCCATTATGGGAAGGGAAGCAGGTTAGTAACAGTAACTGCAAGTGAGCTTAATCTGTAGTCTCGCCTGATGTCTTCCTTTGAAGTGTTTTGAATAGTTTTAGTCTGTGCTAACAGCTAAAACTAAAGAAAATTAAACAATTAAAGAAAACATGTGGCACCTGAAAGACCAGCTGGAATATTTTAATGTGAGCAGTGTGTCTTCAGACACATTGAAATATTGCAGTTAGTATTTAACATGCCACAGAAATTTTCTCTTAATTTTTTTTATTTGATTTTGCCTGATTGTTTGAACGGTTTGCCTAAGACACTGCAATCTCCTCTTCAAGGTGTAGTAAAAGTAGTGAAATTTTAGTGTGAATCCAGTATTACTTCATTTCAATTCTTTCCATCTTATTGTTTTCCAGAGATTTTCTGTGTCTTCAAATCTTGTGGCAGTCTATTTACTTGTTTGTTTATCACATTTTTGTTCCACTTCTTCACAAAGAATAGTGCTCAAAATAGCTTAGAAGCTATCAGCTGGGACCATGGCTACTCTAAACCACTGGTTCTTAACCTTGGGTTACTCGGGAGTTTTGGACTGCAACTCCTAGAAGCCTTCACCACCAACTGTCCTGACTGGGGTTTCTGGGAGTTGCAGTTCAAAAACATCAGAGTAACAAAGGTTAAGAACCACTGCTCTAAACTACTTGATAACTAGTTTAGTTGTGTTCTGACTGCTGCAAAGAGCAGAGATCTGTAGTGGCTGTCAGTTCTCTTCTGACAAAAATCCAAATTTCTCTCATCTTGTTGTATTTTTTATTTTTGTGAGGAGTGTGGGTGCAGATAGCAAGGCCGAAATAAATGAATTGAAATCAAAATTATATTCTTGAGGGCAGATTTCATTGAGGAAAAGACATCTGTCATTTAAAAACAGAAGGTTTCTTAATTCTACCCTGTCTAAAATTTAGTTGTTTTTGTTCCATTGGAGTTCAAACTGATTTGTATCAGACACCACTATGTACCCGTTGTGGTAATTCCTCTGCACCAGCCTGTCACTATTTATAACTGTCAGAACTAAACAGAGAAAGCATATATTGCTGATGAGCTTAGGAAGTTGACAGGAGAAGAAAAGAGTGGAAATACTTCAAACATTTCCAGTGGTAGCTGGAGGCTGTCTTTTCAAGGCAGTGAAAACATTTCCTCAACACATGTGCATGCGTTTTTTTAACTGAATTTGTTGGTCTATGCAGAGAGGATCAAAATACCAAATTATGAGAACACTTTGGAACTAGCAAACATACAGATATGTTCATCATAATAAGGCTCTAGGTCTCTCTGTCCAAACACTGCAGCTCTCATCTTCCAAAATTTTGCACAAATGCTAGCAAAAATATTTTAAATTATGCTTGGTCTTCAGATGGAACCAAATGTAAGTGAAGCAGTCATGTTTGTTCTTTGTATGCTTGTGTCATGAATGGAGAATGGCCTATCTTTTTCATACACCACAAGTGGAATTGTGATTAAAGAACTATGATTACTCTCACTGCCCTTATTTGTTTGGCTCTGTGGCTTGGAAAACACCTTGCTTGCTTCCAGCTGGGCTGTGAGATAACTTACTTCAGGCAACAGAGTACAGGGAGATAAAACAGGGGAGTAGCCAGCTCTTCTACCTGTCTGGATAACACCATATATAAACTTTCAAATGAAGGCTGAAAGGGGGAAAAGAAGGAGAGCAGAGTGCTGGCCACCTTTTGCTTAGAGAGATGGGTCATAAACTCCAAACCACTGGCTGAAGAGGGCACTGAAACCACACCCTTCCCCTGGAAGCATCTTGCAGACTACAGGTGTCTCCATCGAAGAAGCTGCACTAGGCACTCAACTTGGTCATAACACTTTTTGGGACCTTAATACAGTGGTGCCTCGCATAGCGACGATAATCCGTGCAGCAAAAATCGTCGCTATACAGATTCGTCACTATGCGGAACAAAAGCCCATAGGAATGCATTAAAACATGTTTAATACGTTCCTATGGGCAAAAAACTCCCCGTTCTGCGAAAATCCTCCATGCGCCCGCCATTTTTGCGGCCCGGTAAGCGAGGAATCTGGGCAAAAACACAGCGGGCGGCCATTTTAATTACCCGGTGGCCGTTTTGGAACCGCTGATTAGCTGTTAAAAAACCACATCGCTATGCGAAAATCGGTAAGCGAAACACTTACCGATCATCGCAAAGCAATGTTTTACCATTAGAAACACCGCTTTTGCGATTGCAAAAAACACATCACTATGCGGATTCGTCGTTAAACAAATTGCTCGTTATGCGGGGCACCACTGTATTAGCATATAATTTTAGAGCTACACAGAAGAACTTGATGCACAGCATGAGGAAGATGAAGTAACACTGAAAGCTTGCTTGAAAAAAAATCTTAATGGTCCAATAAAGATATAACCTGTTCCTGCATTTGTATTCTTTTGAGAACCATGCAGCCTTGTCCTGATTTTTCCTGAATAGTTGAAATATCAGTCTGAAGAGCCATGAGTTAGAATTTTGTTTCTTCACTGTGCCTCCTAGGAGAAGGGCCAGCCTATCTATGCAAGCTTAGGCAAATTGCATACTTCCAGTTCATGCCTGTAGGAAAAAGAGTGGTCAACTCTATGTCTAGAACACTCACTTTGGGAGGGCTGCAAGACGCTGGAGTCCATTTAATCACTCTCCTTGCTTTGTATGCAGTTTTTGAAAAAAGTACTTCATTGAAAGAAGGCTTGTAAAGCAAAAGCTGTTTAATATCCCAGCATTTGTATAGTACTTTCATTTGTTCAAAGTACCAGATGCATGCTACATTATTTTAATCTGTACCATAGTCATTGAAGTCAATATTATCCCATTCTTCTGTTGGGAATGTGAGAAGGAAGTGAGCTGGAGGAAATTCAGCTTGCCTGAAATCTGAAGTGGTATTTGAATTGGGAACTTCTTCCCTGCAGTCTCAGTGCTGTAAGTGAAAGAGACTGTGCTTCAGCTGCTCAGCAGCTTTTGGTTTGGTTAAAATCAGCTTTATCAGCATCAAGAGGATCATTTGTAGCTGAGGGCGTTATCAGACAGGATTTTGTCCCGTGGAGATGGATTGGTTCACTCCTTTTCCCAGCAAGCACATGATGTAAGGGCAGTTGTAAACCAGCTCATATCTTCTCTATGCTTACCTCGACTTTTTTGGATTCTGTGAGAGCTACTGTTTTCTTTTCTTTCTTTCTTTTTTTTCTTTTTTCCCTTTTCTTTCTTTTTTTCTTTCTTTTTTTTGGGTGCAGGTAGGCTTGCTCCATTTTGCTTCATTTTGCACCTGTGATCATTGGGATTGAGCCAAAGCAGATGGCCTAAGTTGTCACTTCGCTTAAGCGGCTTCTGTTTATTAAGAAATTAAAGCTTTTCTTCCATTCACCTGCAGAGGAAGAAACAAGAGGATGCAAATAGTTGTTTTTCCTTTTTTTAAAAAAAGTAAAAGCCAGTGCTGAATTAGTTGCTCCTTAAGCCAGTTCAGCTCTGTACCACTTGGAAATGATTTTTTTGAAGATTGAAAAGCTTCCTCACCCTCCCACTCCCAGAACCTTGAAGGAGGGGAATCTTTGTTTTTTGTTTTTCCTTTTTTTCTTTCCCTTTAAATGGAGGAAGGACTAAATAGGGTTGTTTGAGGTGCAGGTTGTCCCCATGTAAAGATCACCACAAGTAGGATACTTCAACTCAGAGCAACCCTATTGAGGACAATCTAGCCCCATCGAGGTTGGGGCAACATGGCTTTCTAGGATTGCCTTGAGGTGTGCTGGTGGGGAAAGAAGACAGTCCTTTTCCTCCTACATTCTTTGCCTTACTCCAGAGAGCTTCCCAGCTGCAACACTCTGGAGGATAAAAGAGAGAGGTATTGTTTTTCTTCCTAACCCCCTCCCCATGAGTTGCATCTTTGACAAAGGGACTTTAAAAATCAAATGGGGCAAATGGGAGAGTTCTGGCCCTCCTTTCTCCAGTGCTGCAGTCACATTCCCAATTTCCTGTTCCTGCAGCTGCTTTTGAACAAAGAAAAAGATACTCAGAGCTCTGGTCATAGTTCTCTTCTATCATTTATTTTTTTAGCCCTCACTTTCTTAGCTACAGTACTACCACCAGTTTCAGTAGTGAATCTGTTATTTTAGCTCACTTATTTCTTTGCCCTTTTTTGTTTTTTGTTTCTCAGCATTGCATCTATCTGCAAATGTGCTGCTGCTGCTCTTTGATAACATGACTGGGTCAAAGTAGCCCTTGGACTGTTCAGGAAGACATAGCATTGTTCATAATCTCCACCAAGGGCACTCATATACAAGTTCTTTTGGGGAATTTTAAACTATCAGAAGTAAACATATGAAGAGGCAAGAGTGCTGTAGCCCTACAGTAGAGTAGACCTTTGGTCTAGATGTGTGGGATAGAAATCCAATAAATAAATAAATACTCTCTCTGCTGTTGGTCTCCTCAGGTACTCCTCACAGTCATTCTGAAAGTGGAGAGTCCCCTGTCTGTGTTGCTCTCTATGTAGTTCTAAATGTTGGAAATACTAAGCTACAGAATTGGGTGGAGAGTCTCCACAAGTACAGAAGAGACTTACTTCACATTCGGAGAGCAATGATAACAGATGTGAGGCTAGAGTATTCCCCCCTCCTTGTGTACTTGCTTGTAATAAAGAAATGTGTTTTTGTCTTCTGACAATTATGATTTGTTTTATTTTACATTTGTTTCACTATGAATATACGTAAATCGCTCAGAGTAGTGTTTCTCAGGAATTGGTGCAGTAAATAAATAAATACTTAGAATATTGGAATAGGGTTATGACATCCGGTAGGTTGCGATACCCAGTTTGGTGTGGACTAAGACTCAGGAGATCTGGATTTTGTGTGTGGGTACTGAGAAAGACATGGGACGTGGTGGCGCTGTGGGCTAAACCGCAGAAGCCTGTGCTGCAGGGTCAGAAGACCAAGCAGTCGTAAGATCGAATCCACACGACGGAGTGAGCTCCTGTCGCTTGTCCCAGCTCCCGCCAACCTAGCGGTTCGAAACCATGCAAATGCAAGTAGATAAATAGGGACCACCTCGGTGGGAAGGTAACAGTGTTCCATGTCTAAGTCGCACTGGCCATGGGACCACGGAAGATTGTCTTTGGACAAAACGCTGGCTCTATGGCTTGGAAACGGGGATGAGCACCGCCCCCCAGAGTCGAACACGACCGGACAACAATTGTCAAGGGGAACCTTTACCTTTACTTACTGAGAAAGACTGGGGTGCAGAGAGCTAAGTAGCACCTAAGCCATTCTAAGCAGGTGAGCAGGCAAAGAGGAAACAGATGAGAGGATGAGCCAGCTCCCTCTGTCTTGGACGAAGCGTGAGAGGGGATGAGATTCTTTCCCCCCATCCCAAGGGGAGAGCAATCTCAAGTGAGGGACAAAATATATACAGTATCCCTGTGAGGCATGATTCTGACTTGGCGGGACATAGTGGAGCAACATAATAGTCAAATGAATATGAAAATCTGCATGTTGATCCGGTTTTATTGTGTAATTTTATGGTAGAATGTTTGAGTGGATGAAAGACCAAGAAAGAAAGAGACAGAGAGAGAGAGAGAAAGCCCTGGGAGAGGACCAGGAAGTTGTGCAGAGATCAGGTTTGTGTTTTAGTGCACATATATCTGCCCAGCAGTTACTGATAGCGTGTTTGTGTGTCTCACACACATGCACACTGCAGTGCACAAGGAAGAGCAACCTATTAAGCCAGGCATGGCCATGGTTGTGCACTGAAAGGGAAGTTGTTTCCTTACTGGTGGTGGTACTTCCTGCTATGTACTTTAACATCTCTACTCGTGTCCTTTGTGCTGGCGATGTGGAGAGAGAGCAATCAGGCTAGTTAGGATTAAGATACAGTAATCTGAATGAGTGTTGGCTGAATAGAACTTCCCCTAGTTCAGTAGCCATGCCTTTGGCTTTTGGTGGTGGTGGAGCATTCTTGTGATGTCTAATTAAGCTTTTCAGAATGTATGGAACCCCCAGTACATTCTACTTGTTTTTGGCAAGCTCTAAAGGGCAAGGAGTTCTGAGGGTTCTGTGAGTCCTTCAGTCCTCTGTTGTCCTTTCTTTATCAGAAGAAGGAAGTGTGTAACAGTGTGCAGAAGGAGGAAAGCTCACAACTGACAAACATTATCATTTAACTAGAAAAACACTGCTGAAGTCCTAGTTGAATTAAAATGATTCGATAGTGAGTTTTGAAGGGAAGGAAGCTCCATGGTATGGCAAGTCTTGTGTTATATACCATTAAGTTGGAACTGACTTATAGCAACCCCAGTACAGTGGTGCCTCGACTCTCAGAACCATTTTGAGTTAAGACCAGCTCTGGCTGCAAAATTTTTGCTTCTACTTGCAACCAGAGCTTCCACTTACAAACAGAAAAAGGTGGGAAATTCAAATTTCTAACTGTAGGTGGCGACGAGATTGTTTCTTTGTAGCTCTTTCGCCCCAGCAGTTAGAGAGTGTGCGTCAGAGGAGGCTTGGCTGGCGGGTAAACAAAATGGCTCCCCGTTGTTTTCTGGGACGGATTCCTCGCAAGACAGGCAGCGAAAATGGCTGCCCTATGGAGGATCTTCGCTGGATGGTGAGTTTTGACCCCATTGGAACGCATTGAAGGGGTTTCAATGCGCTTCAATGGTGGGTTTTTTTTGCATTATGATGTTTTCGCTTAACGGCGATTTTCATGGAACAGATTATCGCCGTTAAGCGAGGCACCACTGTAATTGCATTTCAATGCATTCCTATAGGAAATGGTGCTTCGACTTAAGACCATTTCGAGTTACGTCCATCTTATGGAACGGATTATGGTCGTAAGTTAAGGCACCACTGTAGGGCTTTCAAAGTGAAGTGAAATACTCAATGTGATAGTTTTACCAGTTCCATGAGTTTCCATGGCCAAATTGGGTCCTAAGACCAAGCAGTCGTAAGATCGAATTCACGCGACGGAGTGAGCGCCCGTCACTTGTCCCAGCTCCCACCAACCTAGCGGTTCGAAAGCATGCAAATGCGAGTAGATAAATAGGGACCACCTTGGTGGGAAGGTAACAGCGTTCCGTGTCTAAGTTGCACTGGCCATGTGACCACGGAAGATTGTCTCCGGATATACGCTGGCTCTATGGCTTGGAAACGGGGATGAGCACCGCCCCCCTAGAGTCGAACATGACTGGACAAAAAATTGTCAAGGGGAACCTTTACCCATTGCTCTATCCCCTACACCACCCTGCTATGTCTTATTTGCCTTTATAATGTGAACATGAAAAATTGTTCCCATGAAATATATGGGAAGCATGCCTTGGACATACCCAGCGTGGAGTAGTGTATAGAATGACAGATTAGGAATCTGGAGACCAAGATTCTAATGCTTACTTGATCATGGATATTCACTGGAGGACATGGTAAAACCACACCTTAAATATTTCACTTACGTTGAAAGCCCTGTTAGGGTCACTATAAATTCAGACCTGGCAACATATAGCTAATTGTATCTCAGACTGGTGAAGGAAGGTTCTAATGCAATGCACGAAATAAGGAAATTAGCTATCATGAAATCTGTTCATGGCTGTTAAAGTTTAGAGAGCTATTGAAATGTATTAGTGATTTATGGAGAAGGGGGTTTCCTGGCTGCCATGATGAAAAGTTAAAATGAAAAGATAAAAGTTAAATGGAATCTCCCAATACAGGCACATTTGCTACACAAGATACAGTGGTGCCTCGCATAGTGACGATCGGTGCAGCAAAAATTGCTGCAAAGCGATTTCGTCGCTATGCGAAAATCCTCCATACGGTGGCCATTTTCACTGCCCGGTAAGTGAGGAATCCATCCCAGAAAACAACGGGCGGCCATTTTGGAACCGCCGATCAGCTGTTAAAAATCATTGCTTTGTGATGATTGGTAAGTGAAACAGGGTACCGATCATCGCAAAGCGATTTTCCCTATTTGAAACATCGCAATGTGATCGCAAAAGCGATCGCAAAATCTTTGTCGCTATGTGATTTCATCGTTAAACGGGGCGTCCGTTAAGCAAGGCACCACTGTACAAACATTGGCTGCTGTTTGTAGTATCAAGGAAACTTGCTATGCAGGGCTTTGGAGTCTCATGTACTTGCATTTGGAAATGCTCATTGAAGAGTGGAGTGGAAGAAGAGGAAGAGGTATGGGGTGCTGACTAAACTTGTAGTTTGAGTTGTGGGCAATGTATGTGAATACAATTTTCAATAGATCTGCATTATTTCATAGAAAGAAACGATGAACTGGCTTTCCATCTACAAAGATAATGTTGACACTCTGATTTATTGTATAAAAGCAAGAAGAAAAAGCTAAATTGTAATGCCAACAGAGCAGCTATATTGAAATAAGCTTTTT